ACAGGGACGCCGGCACGCCAGTGGGGGTGTGGGCGAGATGTCTGCTGCCCGCTGGCTGGCGCTCGTCGTGCGGTACCTCGCTCGGGGAGAACTACAGCCGCATCGATCCCGTCCGCGCCAGGAGTGGCGTCGAAATCGTGCGTCGACTTACCTGGAACTTGAGCGGGTAGGAGCCGTTCGGAGTGCCGTAGCGGATGGTGATGTCGCCCGTGTCCGCGTCTAGCTCAAAGTAACCGCTTGTCTGCGCGTTGGCCCAGGAGAAGGTTTTGTCGGGCAGGTCCCAATCGTCCGGGTCTTCCACGTACACGCGGCCCACCACCGTCTCCGGCATCTGGCCCTGCACGCCGACGTCGAGCACGTCACTGGCGCAGACTCCGTCGGTTCCATCTGCTGTATCGCGCACAAACCACTTCATTCTTGACCTTTTCAGCACTGGCTTTTTTGCGTCGCAGGTAATGCCGCAATTTTCATCGTGATGCTGTTACCGTTGGATCATTGCCGAGCACAGGGCGCAGTATTTTCCATTAGAATATGGGTGTGCATCAGATAAAGTGGTGCCAGGCTCCACTATATTACTCACGTTCTCCCAGCCGCTCCTTAACCGTAAATACGACTTCGATCGCACAAAGTACGAAACATCCATCAAGCCACAGGCCACACACCTTTGCAGGACGAAAATTAGGCATCTGCCCACTCGGCGCCGCTCACCATTCCTGAAAGCCAATCCCCTCTAAGGTCTAAGGTCAAGTCAGCTCCCCTGTGCGCTCCTCCCGGGCCCGGTGCCCCACCGCGAACCTCGAAGTTAAAGACGTCGATGACACTGGATCCCGGCTTCATGTCGTTGTCGTTCTCGTCGCCGACGATGATGGTGAAGAGGCTGGTGCCGGTTAGCGTTGCGGGCTCGGCCAGAGTGTTGTCGCTGATCACCACCGGCACGGTGTACGACTTCTGCTGCTCGCGGTCCAGCTTCACCAGTGGACGGATCTCGGCTCGGCTCCCGTTGCCTGGTGGCGCAGCACCGCTCTGAGCGCGCTCGTCTTAACACTCTTTTAACACTCTCGGCACATGGTATGACCACTCAGAGCTCTGAGTAACGTGATAGGGACTAGAACACTAGCAGAGCTTACCTGCCCCGAAGCAGCCTTTGATAGATCAGAACGGCCTGAAGGCACGGCAGTCGTCTCATCAGGCTCCAGCACAGCAGCACGGGCGGCGGTGTTCATCGTTCCGCAAGACTACCCACGGCGGTCCCGGCCACGAGGTTCAACTGTCAGCCGGACTCAGACGGAATGTGAGGCGCCGGTCTGACCGCCGTCGGTCTGAATGTCGCCCTCCAGCCCGAGCCACCAGCAAGCCACTGGTGACGGCACCGCAGCGCCGCAATGTCGCGTTCGCGTGGACGGGAACGGACCGCTGACCGCCGCCGAAGGCAACAGCTCCGTTCCTCGGTCGCCAAGAGCACGGCGCCGTCTTACCGGCGGTCCGGACACCGAACTTGTTTCGTATGTCGGCCGATGAACTCGGATCCAGCCAGAAGGTATACGGCGGTCCGTTCTTCTCGTGGTCGTCGTAGTCATCTGCCTCCACCGAAATAACAATGTCGTCCGGCGACTTGTTCTCCATGATGACGGGAATCGACGCGTCACTCTGTTGAGAGCGACAAAGGGAGCAGTTGTGCACGGCGGACAACACCTGGCATCACAGCTGAGGTCTCGCGACCGGTACAATGCCACAGTAATGCAACCAGAGTAATGAGGTCGTCATGGCCACGGGACGACTAATTTGACTCTGGAATGTTTCACCGAGGTGCCATCCGATGCCTTAGGTTCTTACACCGTCCATAGCAAATATCGGTAGACGTAGCTCGTCTCACTTGTGTAGGACACACGGCATATGCTGGACAGCTGTTTACGAAGTGCTGCACCCGCTGAGGTCATATCAGCGTCCAGCGGAGACAGCCATAGCCGAGAATTCAACTCGGTTATCCGCGCGTCAGTCTGATGTTCCATTGGGCCCGCCCTCATGTTGTCTACGTGCTCGCTTCTCACGCCTGAAGTCCATTCATAGTGTCCCGAGATGTCTCTCGAATTTTTTACCATCGATTGTCCATTGGGACAATCGGTCCGACGGGGATGCTGGCGTGCGTCACAACGGGTGACTAAAATTCGGACGATGAGCTGCATGAAGATATAAAGACACTAGCAACATGGTCACACCTAGACGGAGTAGGTCCCTGTCCAGTGGTTCAGCGAGGTTTTGGTTTCGATCTTGGTCCTGGCAGTCTCTTGCACCGTCGCTGTGGATTACCGATGGTGCCTTTCCTAACCCGATGACCTGCCGGATCTGTCGCGGCTGGAAGTGTGGCCGGACAACGCTGACCAGATCGGTGATCTAGTTCCTGCAGATCCGGAGGCCTGGTCACATCCTGGACGCCACTGACCTGGATCAGGTACGGCGCGTTGTCGTTGATGTCGGTCAGCGTGAGCTTGAAGGGCACCGTGGATCCGATGCCGTCGCCCCCGTCGTCCCAGGCCTCCACAGAGAGCTCCCAGACCTCGCGGCCGCCCGTGCCCTCGTCCCGGTCCAGCGTCTGTCGGCGCAGGCGCAGACGTCAGCCGAGCCCGCCCCGCGCCGGCCAGCGGGCGGACGGCGAGGCAGTGATAGAGCTGTTGGGCTTGATAACACCGCACTCTGGTCTGGTGACAACGTAGATCGGTAAACTGGTTGGTGCACGGCGACGAGGATAGCCTCTTCTGTGTTCCAGATTCATGTACTTTCCTCGTCTCAGCGATGGCGTACATCTTCTTTGGCTGGCTCTGTTGCACTGGCATGCAGGGGTGTCAATTTTTGTAAATGATTGGGGGCCGGGCCAACAGCCCGACAATATCTCCTCCCCCTCCATTTTTTTTCCTCGACGGATCTAGTCCACTTCGTTTTGACAAAAGATAGTTAATATCTTAAATTAAGTATACCTAAAAATAGTATCTAATTTAAGCAGCGTAGTACTCATGCGGGGGCAGTTCTAAAGGGGCAGTTCTAGCGGAGGTTTATTTAAGTTATGGTTTTTGCGTAAATCGCGAGCGGCATACGCAAATTTTGGTCCGAATTTGGCGTCGCACCACGATTCTTTACTTCAACTAGGTCATAGAATCAACCATTGTAATCAACATCACCATAACCCATATTGCTCAACAATACTCAGTTATATTCAATAACTCATAACAAACAATTCACATTGAACATTATCTGCATTGGATTGAGGCTACAAGCAACTGCATCAAAAAGATGCATAAATGCGCTCTGTACATAACAGGAAAGGTAAGCTTCTAACTGTGGTGTAGTAAATGCGAGTGCTTTTAATAGGATCATGACATGTAAGTTGTTCAGGGCACTGGCGAGGAATATTATTCGCATATATATGACAGTAGTATTAGCCTTATTCCTTGGAAAAACCAGGAGAATGGAGATATCGTCTGCTGATACAGTTTTTAGTTGCAGATATAGTTATATAACTATAGATATAGTTTTGTATATTATCGACTTCTGCTTTGTTTCGATAAAGGCGTTCTGCCGAAATATCAACCAAACTGTATATCCATTCCCCTGTTTTTTTTCCGACGAATAATGCTAATACTGCTCTCCTTTCTATAGGATCATGACATGCTGACTTATTTCTAAATCGTTGCTGCGCGCCTAAGGTGAGCGTAAATTTCCGTTCAATGGATAAAAGCCACATCATTTAAACCAGTTTAGTTTTGTGAGGGCTAGTTCTTCAGCGACACAACAAAGTTCCAGCCTACAAAAAGACATTTGACTTAAATGTGCAAGATTATTTACAATCAAATGGCAGCATTCTCTGTCGCATCCGGAGCACTTTAATTCGTGTGTTTTTAATACAGTGTCGAAAGTTGAAAAAGTAGCCTTCGCCCCTCTTTCTTCATTCTTGCATTATCTTACATCCCCGCGACGCTCAATTTAACAGGGCAACATGCACCAGCCACGAGAGGGCTTAAGTGCCCGCCTGGTGAGTTTTGTACGAGTGACGAGTACATACCAAGTATGGTTACCGGACAAGAGTCGTATGGGAAAAAGTCGAACGGGGAAAGCGAACTGCAAAGTAGTCGAATGGAATACTCGTGAACGGCAATAAAGTCGAACCGGAAGAAATCGAAGCATTAAACATCATAGGGGATGCAAGTCGATTGGAAAAAGCCAAACGAAAATGTCCAAAAACAAAATGCCGGAAGAGATGCAAGTCGACAGAGATAAAAGCGGAATCGGGAAAAACGGGGCAAATATTCGAAATGAACAGCAGTCGACAGGGACAAAATTTGAATTGGAAACAGTCAAAGGACAAAAAGTCGAAGGACACGGGGTGAAAAGTCGAATAGGAAAATAATTAAAAGGACGAGTAATATAGATGAGTAAAAGTGAATTGTGATAAATATGAACAAGCTCGTAGTGAAAGGGATCTAAGGCAAAAGAGTTGCCAGCATTTGCTGCGTGGTATGGAAGGGGCTGACGCTGATGGCGACACCGTATCTGTATAAACCGCGGAATACTACAACAGTAACAAAACGCAGCCAAAAAAGAACACATAGACCACAACATTCCAGTTGAAACTCAAGCTATCTCTTATATGGCACCGAAAAGCGTAAGGATGTCAGAAATACTACCATTGTTCCAATTAATGGCATCATGCATTTATCGGAGTTTGATTATTTTTTATTGCTTTCTAGGTCACTGGTGATATTATTTGACAAAGGAAGTCAAGGAGCAGTTTATAGACATCGTGTTTCTCCGAGCCAGTGGGCTTCAATGCGTACAATGCTCAAGGGCCTATATTAAAAAATGTACCATGCACGAAGCTCCATATTGCCGTGTAAACACACCAAACGTCGTGGCGGAAGGCCATCTTCGATAGAGGGCTGAAGTTACACTGATTACATTCGTGACGTGGCGAAACGCGTGGTGACAGTTTCGCCTTCCAGAATAGGTGTTCGCATATAGCTCGTGAAAGGGGGTCATTTGACCTTTGGCTTGACAGTGTCATCCAGGGCAGCCGGCAGTCATGTAGTCGCGTGGCACGGTGCAAGTCCTCTCGTACTATTTGGGTAAAAGACCAAGGCAAAGTGGGCCCGTTGAACGTGCATTACAATAATGAGATGGTGAGTTCGGAGTGCTGGCAATAATGCATGCTCAGCACGGAATTTGATAAAAAAACCGGTCTCAGCGACACTTTCGCTTTCCGTATTGTTTATCAGTTTGTAGCTGAAGTGGGCCTATAATCTGGACTAACGATGCCACGCCACAAAAGCTATGTCACCCCATTTTGTTTTCTCATCAGCCCTAGCAATAAAGCACTTAAGCTTTCAGCTTCAAGTGAAACGATGTTAGGTTCGCAACCCGCCATAGGTAGAGGACCAAATGTCGCTTGGCATCAAAGAGGCCACGAGACGGGTGAATTAGCAGCGCTAATATCATGTTTGAGTGGCGGGGAGAAAAAGCATCTGGGCTTACGTTGAACAGATTAAACAAAAACCGTCAAATGTAAAATGGTTCATTGTCAATGTCTTAAGTTACCTACCAACTTGATAAAATAATTTTGAGGTTGAGGGTCAAGTTAGCCCGATGCACCCTCCATGGTGACGTCACTACGAGAGGGGGTCAAAGGAGGTAGTCGTTGTGTGATGGCCAACGTTTCCCTACGCTTTTACAATATTTCAGGAAAACATATTGGGGTGCCTAAGCCAACATGAAGGGCCGACTCAACATTAGGAGGGCCAGAGCACTCACAAAAGAATACAAATCGGCACCCGTGCTGACATAGTACGAAGAACGCGAGCGAAGCAATTGCAGCCTGAGGCCGCTGTGCATCCAAACGAAATATACAAAAAACAATAGTGCCTCCTGAAGGATTTCACTCATATACAGCCTAACGGGTGGAGTATCCGAGACCGTACGGAGTTCGAGGCCAAATCGTGTTCTGCGACACGCGGGCGGAGACTGAGGGTGTGTTCGGTGGCGCTGCGTGCTGCAGGGGATCACAGCCACGCTCAGCCAGTGGGCGGCCGCCAGCGCACGGGTCACCGGCGAGGCGGGGTGCGCTTTGCCAGACCGGGGGAGTCCAGAGTGGACGGAGGGACCAGTGGCCAGTTTCGTTACGGGAGAATGCTGTACGAATGTACGTATGGGTTAACTTACAAGTTTTGTTTCGAATCCGGTTGCGTAAAGTAGGGAGTATGCACTCCCACGCTCGTAAAATTACACTATTTACGATGGCATCTGAAAAAGAGTTACTCCGCACTTTACCAAGCATCCATCGGTTTTCATGAACGCACCTGACTTAATCATGGAGTAGACATTCACTTCAAAACTGAAGTAAGATGAAGAGATGCTCTGGCCCGTAGTAAAATCGGCAGTAGTGATCATGGAGGAGCCGGCGCATGGACTTGCAGGAGCGGAGGAACAAGCCATTTGGACCGATAATTTACCTGCAGTGAGAAATTGTTGAGCTATGCAAGGATGTGAAGGTATCAACGGTGGATGTGCCAGTATGTCAGAGAAAATCAATACAACTGCAGCTCGCATTGTAACTTTGTAGGCATCGCAAGCATACGCCAAGAACTGTGAAGGATAAAGGTGGCACCCGTCGTGAAAACCACGTTCTTTCTCTCATGTCGTGGATTTCACGAGTTGATGTTTTTTTTTCTTGCTATGACACGGACAGACACGATATAAGTTCACAAAATGTACTACATAGGGTAGGGATGCAGTCAGCTATTTCAGACAGTTCTGGTCGCTTAGACCATCACATATTGCCTTCACATGTGGTACAGAGAAGCTTAGGATACGAACACACGAACCAAACAGCTTTGTTGACTTCTGTGAGAGGCGGAACAATATGGAGAATTATAAGATGCCTGCATTTCAGCGAATTATAAAAGTGATCGCATATATTCTGTTAATGAATCGTCATACACATCACAAATTCATTACTGAGCTGATCCACAAATAAATACACTTTTTATGTCACCTTAGCAATACTTCTGGATTAATTATAGGCATCTTACCTCTCGAGTCCAAAGCGAGAGCATCGGTGCGATGGGAGCGACTGCTTGTTTTGACGATTTTATTTGCATATTTTATTGACTATTTATTTATCATTATTTTATATTTTATTAACTATTTATCACGAACACTATTTATTGACGATATATTTTACGATAACTTCGGGGGAGAGCTGTCAGGTTTATGATACCGGCGTAGGAAGTGTGGGTTAGGTAGTACACTGAACGGCTTCCTTTTGCCCACTTCTCTTCATGAAACTGGTTACAGGTGGTGTGAGTTAGCGTGCTGAATAGCGCTGTGTTTTCTTGGCTATTCGTTGCTCTAAAGTATCATGCGCTACGATTACCGTTTAGCTGAGGCGTGAGCGGACGTGAAGTTGGGCGAGGAAACACCATAACATAAAATTGTACAACTTTTTCGAAGCTCGTGCTATACGCATGGTGTTGATGTAACCACGAATAGCATAGAAAAACAAAACTCTTGACAGAATGTCGGTAATAACAGCGGTACAAATAACCAATTCTTAGCTTTCATCAGATTTTCTAAACGTCATGACACATCGGTCAGTTCAACGACGGTGGCTCAGTGCCAGTTACCTTCAGAACCACCACTTCTCCGCTGGGGTTTATGCTGAAGACGTTGTCCTGAGGACGGTCTGGGTATACTCCTGGGCCCGACAGCGTGTAAATGATGGAGGGTTCGCCGACCGGATCAGGGTCAACGGCCCTGACCTGGAGATCACAACCGCTTGTGAGCTGCGACAATGGAAATTACACACCGCCTGAAACCTGCTTTAAACCCATTTGGTCCCTACATTATTCCTTTTAACAGTGCGCTACGGATTTTGCCATACTTGATCGTGAATTGAGACCCAGACGTTCACCGACTTCCTTTCGCCCCCTAATGACTGGCTTAACATACTATGCAGTGCTGCGAATTGAATTATAATGTGCCACCGAGAAACTACGATGGAACACCCACAGCGAAGCTACACTTAAGATGCCGGCCAAAAAGTGGGACCAAAAGGCATGGCTATGTTGAGAGCTGAATGAATGGTTCATTGCTCATACCTATGCGTGAGACTAAATGTCGCACGCAAGATACTCTGTAAGGCCAGTAATGCCGCACATGTAATTACATATACGGTTAACACGCTGAGCGTTATCCAAGCGACAAACACAAGCACCGCACTTCTTTGAAGTGTCACGAACTCTTAAATCGCGAGTCTGACGATACTATTTGTTTTTGACGTGAACGAAGCTGACCTTGAGGATTGGCGTCGATGAAAGGTAGCCTTCGCGCAGTTTCTGCTCGTAGGTTTGCTTGTCAAACACGGGAGGCATGTCATTCTGGTTGATGACCTCGACATCAACCTCGTGGGTGTCTTCGTACTTCCCGTCAGACGCAGTTACGGTTATGACGTACTGGGGAAGAGCAACAGGTCAGGTCAAGCTGTAGTACAGTCATTTTACGTTACAGCCAGGTCAAACCGTTACAGCCGTTACAGTCAAGCCGTTGCGGCGAGCGGCAAATCACGTTAACCATTCAAAGACATCTTATACTGTTAAGGGGAGACAGGTTATATTGAACAGCCAGGGTCGCGATGTGCTGAGGCGTGAAACAGATCGCGTTAGACGGTCACAGTCACGACGTTCTATGGTGGGGCAAAAGCCACATTGGACCACGGACGGTATCATTGTTCGAACCATCATTTTCGCCTGGCATGTTACCGTCTCACTGTTCTCGTCGGGCGTACCAAGGCTGTACAACGTTCCAGTTATGTTGCAACACAAAGGTGATATGCTTTAGAATATAATTCTGAGAGCTGCCCTCTTAGGAATATCCATGACGATTGGAGATGAATATGTATGGTGTTGCAAATACAGATATTCATTAATGACGCACAATGATGCTCGCTGCATGATGGCTTTAGCTCTCCCGTTGAATAAAACATTGTTCTTTTTCCCACATCGAATTGGGAAAACATTTCACTATTTCGAAATCCATATTTCACAATGTGATATAACCTCTCAGTGGTCTAGCTTTAAAATGAAACACGCCAAATGCGCACAGAAATGTTTTGTGAAATCGAGAAGATGAGCATAACCGACATGTGGCGGAAATACCCTTACCTTGCGGATGGCCTCGAAGTCGATTTGGTTTTTGACTGTTACCACACCCGTATCGGGCTGAATGTCGAACGCAGCACCAAAGTTGCCGTCGGTGATCTGGTAGTTGATCTTCGAGTCTGTGTTATGGGCATAACCAGGGAACAAAAATCACTTGGTGGCGCATCATCACTTGGCGAGTATTACTTTTGAGTACATGTTTTCGTGAGTGGCTTGTGCTTCCATCGAAACACTGATCAGACGTCTGATAACGGGTGAGGCCACATGTTGAGTGGGTCTTTTGCAATCGGTAACAACATTTTCAAAGTGAGTAGCCCGGCTGTCATGTCATTAAAAAACTGATCATTCTACAGTCACTGAAGGCACGATCGCACGCAGTTCTTGACAACAGGAATATCAATTATGTAATGTAAAAGCGTATAATGTGTATGATGCAGTTGGAAATAGAAGTGTAATGCATATATAAAAAACGAAGAATTGAATTCATAATTGTTGAATTAAGTAGGTTTTCCGCAGCATTGAATTGCGCCAGGATCTGACGTATCACATTCGATTAAAGGAAATGTTCCACATTTGAGTCTGCCGCTGAGGCTGCATGGCGTCACGTGCCTCTCACCCTGGCAGACAGGGCGGACTCCGCGAGGAATCGAACCCCGTATCTCTGGTACTCCGTCATCACTCCGACCAGTGCCCTGCATTACGCAGTACAAAACGTGATTCGTGTTCGGATCGATCCGCGCTCTTGTTTTCTTCCTGGCTTAAGCCGACTTTTTGCGAAACCCAGCCTGTCCGGGGCGAGCAGCATGTGCCAGTCACTAGTGGGCCAAAAGGGCCACCTGATGGGGTTCCCGTCCGACCGCCAAGCGCACACCCCTTGGAGGGCTGCCTGTGCGGGCTTAGTCCCGACGGTTGTGCCCCCAGCCACATGAAGTCCTGCGTACCATTATTCATCTTCTTTATTTCATAGCCCTGGAATGATCGGCACTGGTCGAAAGGGCTCTAATGAAAATAATATCATAAATGACCGTGTAAAATAGCAGATCGTTTGACATAAAAAGCTATATTTTCCTTGTAAAGTCACTGACCTATGGTAGGTCAAGGTCAGGCCACGCATTTAAAGAGGACAATTTCCACGGTAACGTTCAATTCCTCAATCTTTCAAATCAATCTTGTGCAACAACAGAGTGTTAGACGAAGCCATACACCTCTGAGATAGTTTCTTAGGCATCACAACAGTGGAATGAAGAAACCCCATTGACCTAGCGTCAGGTATGAATTTTGGGCCTAGGTCGAAGCCAACTTGTTTTATGGGGTCAGGTATGACCTTACCTAGGGTCCCTAGGGTCAGGTATGAATTTGGGGCCTGGGTCGAAGCCAACTTGTTTTATGGGGTCAGGTATGACCTTACCTAGGGTCCCTAGGGTCAGGTAAAAATTTTGGGCCTAGGTCGAAGCCAACTTGTTTTATGGGGTCAGGTATGACCTTACCTAGGGTCCCTAGGGTCAGGGTCAGGTAAAAATTTTGGGCCTAGGTCGAAGCCAACTTGTTTTATCACTCTGGAGTGTATTAGAGTTTTATCACTCTTTATCACTCTTGTTTTATGACTCTGTGTGGGATAGTTTTTGGTACTCACTTCGACTTCATTGATAACAGAAACCGCATTATGCATCTTCAACAGATTTTTGAAAGGTACGGATAGGTCACTGACCTAATATGACCCAGGCTGAAATTTGGTTTTGAGGAACATACTGCATAGCGTAATTTTTGACGCTTATTTGAACCCGAAACTTAAAGCAGTACTATTTTATTTTAGCACCACAACCTCCAAAAGTTCAAACAAGGTATCTGATCACAAATGAGCACCAGTGATATTTTATTTAGAACAGGTACCTATGTTCTGGGTCACACTGGACACCAATCTGGAGTTTGGCCTTGTTTGAACTGGTGTGACCCGAAGGTCATGACATAGGAACCCCATATTTCTACGCAAGTGAATTCACGCACAGGCCAAAAGATCCTGTGAGTTTAGTGTTCCCAGCTCTCTCCGTTTCTGAGATAATAGGGGTCAACGTAACTCCCCCACCCGAGCAAATATATTCAACTGGCCACCCGGGCCCGTACTAAGCAGTGTTCCACTTTTGTATCAGGTTTTGATCTGAACTGGTTATTTTGAAGACTATCCGGTGCAGATCACAACCCTATCTTTCTTAAGGCATTAATCCCGCTAGTTTCTGAGCTCTACGCCTGCGAAGATTTGTAGACTATTTCGGGAGATTATTTCAAGGTTATCCAGGCGTCCATGGCGCCACAATGACGCCTCTCAAATCTTCCCATTTTATTAGCCATGCGGCCATCAAGTCCAAGAAAGACATATTTGTCGAGTCGTTCAAATATGGCGTTCATGAGCACGATTTCCAGATGCAAGGGCCGTCAATCGGCTATTTATCAATGCTTTGCAAGGTACAATAACGTAATCAAACCATGATCCATTGAGGAGCATACTTATTAAGCAGATAATTTTGCTGCCTCTAGCAGTCTGTTCAACTTAAAAAAGCATGCCGATAGATATAAGTGAGTTTGCTTCATCATGCCTGATGCTTGTTTCAATATCTTCGAATGTGAATATTCCCTGTAATGTTGCGAATCGTACCGACGTGCACAAGACACGAATGATGCGATACTTGCTATTGCTCATATTTTTATCAATATCACTTTTCATCAGTCAGTCATATTTCCTTCACACAAAACACGGCATGACCGTTGAGGTAGTGGTATTTCCCAGACGTGTCTATGATGTCATACATGCCTGTGTGACCTTGAAATGGTCTGCATGAAATAGCCTACACAAGTTCGCGGGCACCAAGTTTAGAAACAAGAGTGTTTTGAATCTTTAAAGGGCATGGCTATGAACTGCAGTGAATGATGTTCAAAATGGCTACCTCAGCTCAGCACCTCATAACTGTGGACACTCCCTTTAACCCTCACCCTGATTCGCCGTTTTTCATAACACGGACTGATAGGGGAGTCGATCGGCACCCTTCCCTCCCCCAAGGCGTTTTCATATTAATAGAGATAGAGCTTAACAAAAAATATCACTGGATTGGTCTTAGCGTGATCCGGCGATTGGCACCGGTTTTTATGTTTTTGAGGCCGAAAATTGTCCCCACTACGTCAGGTGAATGATGAAATTTTCTAGAAAATTGCACGTTTTCAGATCTACAGCATTATACCTACGAGACTACGCCTTGTGACGACACAAGACCTAAGCGGTCGTGTTCCTTGCTCAATTCTGAGTATGATAGTGTATATTTGTACGTGGTTTGAGCATAAAATTATGATATATAGTTCCGTTAATGTAACAATGTCGGCCCACCGCGCGCGTTCCGTGGCGCGGTCGATCGCCACCCACCGCCCGCGCCGGCCATAAACCGCCGTGGTGTTCCTAAAAAGAAACCGCCGCTGCTCCGAGACCAGAAAAATTGGGAATGCGTTTTTTGTGTCAAAACACGCGCAATGGATAGCTCATAGGCTACTGAAAGTTGAGCGTGTTTGCACGCCATGTCGGAGCGGTATCCTCTACAGGCCTTAGGGCAAGGGTCGCATCGACACTCTCCCCTGACAGGGCCAGGGTTGACGTTATACACATGACAATTTTGTGGACCATCCAGGAAAAACGCAAACAGACAAAAAGCAAAAGAAGAGCGGCGAAGATGGATCGTAAGCCGCCGTGGATGGCACGGATCCGAAAGGGGCTTAGATCTTTGCAACCAGGTGTCGCGGTGCCTTGATACGAGCTAGTGTCAAAGGAGAAGATAACAAAGGTACTGGCAAAGGCGTGGTGCAATCTGTGCGGACCAGGGATTTTCCCAGTGTGGAACTTTGTTTAAGATTGATGTCACACATCGGCAGCCAGAACAGATGTACATTTGCAATCAGCTGCGCTGTTAAGTGCGATGTGCCGGCGACTGCTCACTAGGGCTCTCAGCACTGTCTGGCACATAAGTGCGTCAGAAATCGACCAGAAAGCGGACAATTCCGGCGATGCGTAAGGGAATTTGTTGATGGCTATAGGCTCTACCCGTTCAGCGGTCCATCGTTTGTGGTTAATGGGGCATAGTTATCACTCAGCTTGCGAATCTTACCGTCGTCCTCGTCTTTAGCTGATATGTCGAAGACCTTGGAGCCGATATCGGAGTTCTCTATCACGGAGGCCTTGTAGACGCCAGAGGGATCAAACGACGGAGGGTTGTCGTTCTCGTCGCCGATCTCCACTGTGACGCGATGCTTGGCTGTAGAAATGACCGGAATTAGTGATCCCTCCGTTTGCTACGGGTAATCAGCGATGTTGCTAAGCCCCGGCACGATGGTCTGGGAGGGTGGGACCCTTGGCTTCTTCTCCGCGTGTTACGTCGTAACCGATACGCCAAGCACAATGCAGCACGGTGGGTGGTGACAAGAGTGCAGTTGTAGTCAAATGAACAGGCATACTTCGCAGGACTGGAGAGCCTAGTGATTCAGGGAATGCCAGACCTCTCGGGTTCATAACGACTTCGGGTTCTCTCTCTAAGACATATCTTGTTTAATGGAGTTAGATGACGTCATAGCGGAACAAAACTTTCTTGATCTGCTCGATCCAACCACTACGACGTTTGTGCTTATGCACGCGTAATGCGTGTACGCATTTAGCCCTAAAATTCCTCCAAAAATGAGAAAGCTGGTGCCCTGATGCCCGGCCGAAAAGTATACAGCCTGGAAGAGAACACCTCTGGGTGGCACCTGCGTCGTACCGCCAAACCCCGCCTCCACGCCCAGCGGCGGTATCGCGTGTCCGCCCGGGGCCGCATCTCCACGTGGCGTCGCGCCTACCCTGGTTAGGCTGGCCGTTCTTCTGGATGTCGGACGGGCTGCCGTCCTCCGCGAGCACGGTGATGGTGTAGAAGGGAGACGGCCGCGACTCGTCCTCCCGGTCGAACCTGACGCGGGTCGACACCCGGCCCGTACCCGACTCTATGCTGAATAGCTGGTACTCGGGCGATTTTCGGTCCAGGCTATAACTCACCTGCGCGACAGACGGGTGCTCAATGATCGCACGGGAGGCCGAAGGCCCAACACCCGAGGATAGAGAGGACAAATCAGTTTTACTGCTTATTTCAGCATCTCACGATAAAGCTCATTTGCAATCATATTTTTAGGTGAAGAAAGAACCTGAGGTGAGGAGGTGAGCAATGGAATGACAGGGAGGAAAGAGTAAAACCAAATAGAAAATGAAGAGGGAGACAGACAGACAGACAGACAGCCAGACAGACAGACAGCGAAAGTGTCTGTCTGTACCTCTTTCTCTGTGCAGTGTGAAAGAGGTACAGCGTGAGAATGGGAAGACATTTCTCCTTACTCTGTCTTTTTAGTTCGTAATTAATGTGCTGCATCTCGGTGACTAGCATAATCTCGGTGGTCGACATTGCCTTCCCACAGACTGACCTGGTTGTTGGGTGAAGTGCTGTCACCGTCCACAGCCGTCGCCACCTCCACAAAGGTACCCGGTGGTGAGTTCTCGGGGACCATCGCTCGGTCAGTGCCGTAAAATATAGGAATTTCGTCGTTCTTGTCTCGTAGCCTAATCTCGAACGTGACCTCTGCTCTGGTTCGCTGGTCCGTCTGACAAGTACAGGGATTCAGTCACAAGAAACGCAGCGGCTCTCACCTACTACTACGCCTGTGCGTCGTTCACAGGGACCGAGTATGGCAGGCTGTACTACACACTTATTTGGAAGTTTGCCGCATAGGCTGGTTATCTAGTTTGCCAACAGTCGCAGGTGATGTCCAGAAAGCACCCTGCTTACCGTGGCCTCGACAGTGATATTGTACGCCTTGATCTGCTCGTAGTCCAGTTGCCGACTTCCGCCGTATCGAACTATAGCGCCACCTTCGCCGTCCTCGTCCACTACAAACGTGCGGAACTTGTTGGTATGCTCCTGGGAGCCGCTCACGACGTCGTAGTAGACGTTGGGACTGCCCGGCAGCTTAGACCTGCCACAGACAAAGCGTGACGTATCATCACGAGGACTTCTGTAAGCAGTCTTCGCTCACAAAAGACAAATCATAGTTTTGGAGGTTTTCGAAGTTGTTTCCAAAACGTCACGGATAAAGTGATGATACTAGAGCCAACAGCGAAGTGTCACGAATGTAACGCTGCTCCCGTGGCTGATCACACTACATCACAGCACCAGCTTTATGCAAATTCTGGAGGTTGGGCAATGCTCACACCCGTCTCATGTTGGAGACGACGACGCGGCATTGAGCGCAGCATTCGTCAGCGAATGCGGGGAGCATCGCTCACACGGAATTTAGCCGGGTGACGAATGTTTCCGGACGGGGGACGCCCGCACGACTCGCGCGGCTGGCGGCACCTATCTCTCACGAAGAGCGCTCCGACCCGGAGTCGGGGGGTGGGTGTCGGCTCACACCGAAGAAGACAGTCACATGGCCTTGACTTCAGGCAGTCGGTACCTAGGACAGAGGACACTCACACGGCCTTGAGTCGAGCGATGCCTGTCTCCGTGTCGCGATAGTTCTCATCCAGAGTGTAGACTGGGTCGGGTTTCACGATGAACGAGGGCGGCCGCGTGCTGGAGTCCTTGACAGTGATGATGACCTGCGCCTCGCTGGACCGAGGCGGTTCGCCCTGATCGCTGGCCACCGCCTCCAGGCGGATTTCAGAGTCGATGGCGAACTAGGTCAGCAGAAAAAGAAAACGTCTGACCAAGCTGCACAAACAAGGTTAATCGACGAGACATCCAGTCAGCCAGCCCAACAGCAGTGATGACATTTCTGGACCAAATTATCATATGAGCCAGACAGGAAGTGTACGGTATTGGAGCACTCGCTAGGTTCAATAATGCGGACAAATACCTTGTGTCTGCATGAAAAGGCGTGTCTCCCTCCGACCCCCAGCGACCCCATGCACCTCCTCCACCCTGGCATTTCCCACATTGTCTGCGCCCCGTGCGGATGGGCGGCCAGCCGGCAGCCAGCGGACCCAGCACGGACGGCGCACCTCCACGAGTGGCCTGGTCAGCGTGATGACGCCGGTGCGCTTGTCTATGCCGAAGTAATCGGACGCGTCGGTCGGCCGCACTGCCCGCAGCGAGTACGTGATGGCGCCATTGTCGCCCACGTCGTCGTCCGTTGCCGACACGCGCTCCACCTGCGTGTCTGGCTTGGTGTCCTTGGCGATCGTCTCCAGGTAGTCCTGTGGCAAGAGACGCAGCGGCATCGTATCGTCGTCCTGATCTCAGAAGGATGCAGCAGTATCCTCAGCATTTCAGAAAATGAGCTCGAAAACTATGGTCTATGGCCTAGCTTCGGAGGGGTAGAGTTAACCCACAAAACCGATTTAATTTTTACTTTTCCCAATATTTCGCTCCCTTTGTTACACGTCGTTCGGGGGCTTTGACTCCTTCATGAACCGGATAAGCGGTGAGCGGAACATGCATCTGCCTCCGAAGTCGCCAATGCTGAAAAACAAACATGCTCTCGCAGACGAGTCGCAACGAAAAGAGCAAGCGGTCGACGAACATAAGAAATACATGATAGTCAAGACTAGGTGGGTTATTTGCGTTTATGGCATGTGTGCCATATCGTGGAGGTACATCGGCTCCAGAAGGGCCGAGCCTCTCGATGCAGCCGCTTCGGGCACGTACACTGTTTAGTGCTACTTTCGGCGGCCGCCGACAGGGCAAGATACCAGACTGTGCTGTGAACTTTTTTATTACTACCTTTTTTATTACCAGACTGTGCTTACACTTTTGTCGAACAGTGGGGAGTTGTCGTTGACGTCCAGGACATTGACGATGAAGGCGCAGGTACCCTCCAGAGACGGCTCCCCGTTGTCATTGGCCTTCACAATGACGCGCAACTCCTTGTCGTGGTCCGGCGCGTCCCGGTTAAAGCTCTGCCCGAGGGGAGGACGGGGTGGTGTCAACAAAGGCGCCGGTCCCGGAGACGGCTCCAGAGCCTCGGCGCGCATCTTGTACTCAGAGGCTGCTAAAACAAAAGTCGATTCGAGTTCGGGCTCGTACTCAGCCGTGGATTAAGTGTCAGGGGATAAGCTAACTGAAACCACGATATATATTCACCATGGCTCGTTGTTGATTGGAGTTTTAGGGCACCGCAACTACTGTGGTCATTTCGCGCCCTATTCACTATGGTTATGCAATGCTATCAAACAGGGACTCGCCAGTGATGCATAGACGGTTTTCTCAAAGCACCGAATGTCTCACATCTACCTGTCCTTGAATTGTCAAAAGTGTTACAAAATACTGTAATACAAAAGGTGAGATGTGCAGTGATGTAAATGTAAAAATATGTGCATATATATCGTAAAAAATGTAGTAAGATTGAATTAAAAACACCACAAATGTTACAAAATTTAACGCTGATGCACATATGAGGCATGAAAATTATTTAATAATGATTCGCAAACGTCCTATCAATTCAAAACGAGAGCGAATGCATTTCCGCTCACGAGACGTCCAGAGACACACAACATTCGGACAAAATTGTCTTCCCTTTCACTGTCATCAGGATGACATTCTTCGCATGTTTTCGTCAGCGTTCTCATTCTTTATTTCCCCCGAGTAGTGAGCCTACTTTGGCAGTGGTCAATACGCCCGTCTCTCTGTCAATCTTGAAGAGCGAGTCTGGGGAGCTCGGACTGGTCACCAGTGAGTAGACCAGGTCGGCGTTTGCTCCCTTGTCAGCATCGGTCGCCTTCACCTGGCAAACACAGCGAGGTTAGCCCTGTTCTGAGCTGCGCCCTCATCGATCGCACGCTCGGATCAACAGTGCTGGGAGTCATGTACCATACTTCCGCACAGCTACGTCTGCGCCATGTACGCGTTTCTGGTACAATGTTGGCATTGCAAAGCAGTGAGATAAATGTGCTTCTGACGTCATTTTCGTAGCCCACTAACCGCCTATTGGCTATCCAATTACCTAATTAACTTAGCTAAAGATTAACTCTGCCTAGAAAACGTATTTTAATAAGCCCAAGCACAGCAAACATGATGCAAATGATCTGCTATGCGCTTACCGTTAGTACGAGCGTACTGGCATCCTTGTTTTCTTCTACTTCGGGCTCATACTTGTCACAATCAGGAAACTTTGGACGATTGTTATTTACGTCTGTGGACGCAAGTCGAGATGTCATAAATACAACAGATCCACATAGACACATAGCTCTCAAAGACAAATGCATGTTGCATCTGAGGGGAAGAACAGTAACAAAAAACATCTGTCTCTTTCGTTTGGAGAGGCCACGTGCAAAGCTGAGCAGATGAAGATTATGAGCGATGCAAAATGGGTTCGTGCATGCGTGTGCATGCGTGCGTATCTTTGTATATCTATGGCACAGCTCTTCCTCGGAAGAACACAACTTCCCCAAACACAAAGCTCTGTCCAAGACTGTCCCGAGCCTGGCGTCAGTCCCAACGGCACTCACGGGCTTCTACTGACCTATCACTTCCACCCTGACGGAGGCTGTGGCGTCCTGGTTGTGAGTGTCACGGGCAACCACCGTGAATGAATACTCGTCCTGGGTGAAATTGAACGGACGGTTCACCAGCCGGATCACGCCCGTCTGCTTGTTGATGGTGAACTGTGAACGGAGAGGACCGGCTCATTGAAGTGTGATCTGATGGCGGCGACTGCGGAGTGTATGCTCACTGAAGTGTCATCAGATGACGGCGACTGCGGAGTGTCTGTTCACTGAAGTGCCATCTGATGACGGCGACTGCGGAGTGTTTGTTCACTGAAGTGTCATCTGATGACGGCGACTGCGGAGTGTCTGCCCATTGCGGCGTGATCTGATGCCTGTGGACGGAAGAGTCTCATCACTGAGTGAAGGCATCTGTAATTTAGTGGTCTGGAGTCTGAGCTGCTTGGTGTCGTCTGGCGAGTGACCGTCGACTCCAATCAAGTAGGTGCTGATCACTCTGAGCACATTTACAAAAGGTTAAGCTAGGTCAGACTCATGGCACACATAGACAATATGGTACTTTGGGTCTCGCGACAGTTTCTTCTCATGAGCTGGTGACACTCCATGGGAACCAGGGAGACACGGGCTGGCGGTTGACGTCCGCTTGAAAACAATGCTATTATCTTTATTTCGATATTTCATTAAAACAAGAATTACTGCAGCGTGACGACCATTTCTAAAGGAATAAACAGTTCTCTTCCCAGGCTCTTCAGACTTCTCTTACTTTACACTGTAGATGAGAGGCCTTTTCTTGGTATCATTCCATATTAGTAGATGAGCAAAAGGCAGCAAAATAGCGATATATTGATTAGCATATATATTTGCTCACTTATTAGACTTGTTGTTTCGACAACTGCATGTGGCCAAAGCACGAATATATAAAAAGTTCGGAATTTTTACGCCGAGCTATCAACCTTAAACATACCTGGTGGTATTGATTGAAGTAAATTTTCCACATTTGAAGATATTGAAGCAAGCAGATATGATGAAATAAGCCCACCTATAGCCATTGACATACCTTAGTGATGTATGCTTTTTAGTGGAAAAGACTACTCCACAATGTCTCTGTTTAATAAACATGCTCCTCACTACGTCACAGTTTGATTACGTCATCGTGCCTTGCACAACATTAATTGAGAGCCTATGTACGGTCATGATGTCTGGAAATCGCGCTCCTGCACGCCAGATGTCAATGATTCGGCGACTATTTTTTTTTTTCTTGCCCTTGATCGCCGCATGACCAACTGAATGCCAGCACTTGAGTGACGTTATCATAGCGTCATGGATGCTGGATGACCTTGAAATAGGCTCCCGAAACACTCTGCACATCTCAAGGGCGTGTAGTTCAGAAACTAGAGATGCTTGGGTGTTTGGAAGGGCAGAGCTGTGAACTGCACCGAATGATCTTCCAGATGGCTATTTCATTTCAAAACCTTAAACAAATGTAGAATACTCCATCAAAATCACGCAATAGAGGCAGCAGCGCCTATATTGACAGCTTTCGATACTTGAAGTGGACTTATGAGCATGATGAACGAATGATCTGTTCGCTCTGAAGCTCTCTCGCGGTCTCTGCACTGATGCAGTTGCATAATTATTATTCATGATCAGTTCATGCATTGCTGAACATCAAACACGAAAAAGAGGAGCCAACAGGTCTACCAGAAACCCCATTCTTTACACCATGTCTGCCAAAAAACAAATGTCAAACGTACCTCGTGGTTGTTTTTTTTTCAATAGTTGTTGAATTCGATTGTGTAGCTCACAAACCACATAAGAGATATCGGCAGTGTCCGCACTTGCTCAAAGAATGTCCGTTCGAAATTCGGCACTAGAAGCAGACAAGAGGGTTGGGCCAGCGCGCCTTTATGAGGGTGAAATTGGTCCACGTTAGAGCTTCGAGAACATTTGAACTCCACTTTCTGCATCCTCGTAATATGCTTAGTTTTTGAGACAACAGGATGACTTAAAAAATCGCCAATGCGGCCCCATTGACCTAATTTATTCTGGGAAAGGTGTGGTAGCGCAGGCAGGAGGGCTGGGATACGTGCCCCTCCCTCCCTTAGGTTTTCGAGGGGTCCGAAGAGCCCATCAGAACCTACGATTAAGGGCCCGAAAGGTCGGCCGGAGTCGCATCGGGTGCGG